CACTCTTCACAGATATGGAAAATAATCCCAGGCAGCAACATCACGCTTCCATGGTTACAGAGAATATTATGCTTTTCTAGGACCAAACATAATTTTGATCCTTGCCAACCATGTTTCTATACACGCACTGCTGAAATCAAGCCAGTGAAGTAGAACCAAAGTAAGTTACTCAGACAAAATCCTTCTTACAGTAAAAACTAGAGTGTGAAGCAAAGCTGTGTGTTAGTGACACCTTTCCAGGCCTGATCCTCACTAATCCGGGTATGAGGTTATCGTTCAGGGATACAACATAGTGCAACTGTCAAAAGTGTTGGCTACAGTGACCTCCTGCTTGGATTCAACACTGCCTTCTCCTCCCACGGGGTGTATTTCCACAGGAAAGTCAGCTGAATTTCATGGGCCCTGTCTCCTCATCAGCAGAACTGGATAACAGTACCACTTGAACTTCTTATGTTCTGTTGTGTCAGTTATTTAAACTGATTAAGTATCTAGAGCAGAACTTAGTACATTATAGCATTCAATAAAACCCAGTCATTATTATTATTAGGGAACGCACAACACCTTCAGTAAATTCAAGATTTTGCCAGATGCTCTCTACAAGTTAGTCTGATTCATAGAGTGTTATAACTTACAGCAACACTAACTAAAAACTTAGACATGCTTTTGTCATTACTAATGCCATACACAAAACAACAAGGTTCATGAAGATAAAGTGCATTGATTTTTCTTTACCTAGCAATATAACTTACTTTTAAATAGGGTTAAAGATGGGAAAGAGACATTTTCCTTAATTGTTTTGTTTTTGTTTTCTGACTTTCTGAGACAGGGTCTTGTAGATAGCCCAGGTTGGAATGCCTATGTGAATAGTGCTTTGTACTCCCTTTCCTTATCCCTGGATCCACTCATGGTATTGAGCAACTCCTTGTGTAGAGATGGGGGCAGAGACGGGAGCTGAGTGTGGAGAAAGGGGAAGCAGAAGGTGCAGGCTGAATCCAAGATATCTGGTCTTTGGAAAAGTATTTTATTTATTGTTTTTATTTTGTGTGTATGAATGTATTGCCTGCATGTGTGTAAGTGCACCCTGTTGCACTTAAGTGCAATGCTTGCAGAAGTCAGAAGAGGGTGTTGGATCCCACAGAACTTGAGTTGTGGGCAGTTGTTAGTTGCCATGTGGATGCTAGGAACTGAACCCAGGTCCTCTGTAAGAGCATCCAGTGCTCTTACACTGAGCCATGTCTCCAGCCCCTGGCATTTGATCTTGATAGTAACAGACTGCACAGAAGTCCGAGGTGTGTTTAGATAGGGAACTAGCATGTTTAACTTTGGGGAGATTCCAACATGTTTAAAGTTCTAGAAACTGGGGGTGTAACTCAGTGGTGGTACACTTGCCTAGCACATGGGCACACCTAGGTTTAATCCTTAGCACTGAAACAAACAAACAAACACACAGAGATCCAGAGGCTCTATTCTCACCCTCTTCCCTATGACAAAAAGGTGTGTGTGGGAATCCAAAAACATAATTATAAAGGGAAAAAGATGTAAATGACATCCTATGCTAAAGAGAGGGAAGGAAAATGATCCTGGCTTAGGTGGGACCGAGGAAGAAAATAAAAAGCAGAGAGAATGGTAAAGAAGAGTTGAAGACAAGCACGAGACACTAGCTGGCCCACTTTAATTACGTGCTGTGACATTCATGCAACACCAATGTCCCTATAGCACATTCCTCAGAATGTGTCCTGTCATGGGACTACGAATGGAAAAGAGGGGTGCTGTCCTGCCCTGAGAGCCAGAGTCAGAGTTACAGGTAATGTTCTGCTTAGGAACAACAAGGCTAAGAACCTGGAAGGTGGGGTACAAACTCGGGCTGCCTTTATTGACAGTGTGGTGGTTTGAATGAGAATGTCCCCCATAAACTCCAAGTACTTGGGCATTTTGTCCTCAGTTAGTGGTGCTGTTTTGGAAGGCTTTAAGAGGTATGGCCATGCTGGAGGAAGCACGTCACTGGGGGTGGGCTTTGAGAGTTCTTAAGCCTTGCTGGATTTCCAGTCACTCTCTAGTTCCTGTGCCTGCTTGAAGATGTGAGCACTTAACTCTCTGGTCCTGCTCTGGCCACCTCACCATGCCATGACGGACTCTAATCCTTCTGGAACCTGGAAACCTACGCTCAAATAAACTCTTCTTCCTATAAGTTCCCTTGGTCATTGTGTTTTATCACAGCAAGAGAAAAGTAACTAAGGCAGATAGGATGTTTCTTTGGGCTTCAGAGGCAACTTCCACTAAAACATGCCAAGGATGAGACCATGCTTCCACGCCAGCACAGCAGTAAGCATGCTGTGAATGACTCACACATCTGTGTTGTAGTTTTTCTATCTGAAACTGAAAATTCCCATGACAAAGCCTGGGGTGGAATGAGGTGTAGCATCAATCACCATGTAGTGGAACACAGTGAGGACTAAGCTGGGGGTTCAGTGAATGGACACTGAAGAGTTACTTTCCTCTGAAGAAATATGCCTTCCTTCGCCCCCTGATAATGTAGGTCTTGCCTAACATTGGGTTTTCAGATTTCCAGGCTGTATGTGGTTTGGATCATGTTCAGACAGCTTGATTTTATTATTTGAAATAGTTTTTTATTTAAAGGAAGATACAGTTTTATTGGTTATTTCCAGTATCTCTGTGACAACTTTCTTGAACATGAAAATAAAGAAACCTAACATGCAATACACCATTTTGTGTCCCCCTACCCATCTTTTTTTTTTTGTACTAAGCATTGAACTCAGAACCCCACATGTGATGTTAGGCAAGCATTCTACCACTGAGCCATACTTCAGCCATTTTTGGTGTCTTTGTTTCAAGCTTGAAGTTCTTTCTACATGTCTCAACAGAAATTAAAGTCTTAAAATAAGTACATACATATGGTGGCAACTGCCTTATACTTTAAATAAGTGCCAAGAAAAGAGGAAGGAGAAGTTCCTTGTAGATACCCTCACTAAGGACAGACATGGTAGTAGCTCAGGTCCAGGTAAAGGGTAACCAAGACAACTGAAGAGCTTCCCATTGTGTCTTATCATCTTAATGCTACAGTCCAGAGCCCGGCTCCCATTCTGAGTAAAAGTAACCACGGCAACTTGAAGAGTCAGATTCTAGCAACGCTTAGGAAAATGTGAGAGGGGGGCACTTAGGAAGGCCAATGTGGTTCCACCGACTCCTGACAAACAACAGGAGGGGAACAAGATGCCCACCAAGGACTAGAAGGCCAAGGATCTTCCTGAGGCCCAACAACAGAATCTAGACATAAAGCACCTTGGAATTGAGCTCATTCAGTTCCTTGATTTCAGAGGCTGAGTCTGAATTGATCAGGTTCATCTAGTGTTTTGGTGGCAAGAATACTACCCAGGTGGCTGCTTCCAGCACATTGTTCACAAACTCTCACAGCTTCTTAATCCAAGAAGCTCCTCAGACACTGAAGAGGTCCCAGCATCCAAGCTATCCCAAGTTTCCCCAAGGTCAAGTCTTTATTCCTATCTCTATTTTTTTTTTACTATGAATATTTCCCAATATAAGTAGAGAGATAAAATAATCAACCCATGAACCAAAAAATATCAACACCTGGCCAATCTTTTTTCTTCTATACTTTTACATCCTACCCCTGCTCCAAGACAATTTTGAAACAAATCTCAAGTATGATTACTTCTCATTAAATAGTAAATATTCAAATTATGTAACTGTAGGTACAGCAGAGACTCTTGTCTTCAGGAAGCTTCCATGTACCTGTTGCACACACTTGTGCTGTGTCTAGTGATGTCTGTTCTAGTTCACAACTCTAGGACACAAGGCCAGTCTTAGCATGGACCCGTGAGATATGTTCTGTGATACTGCCATATGCTGATAACATCAGACTGTGGTGGAATGAGGTGGTTTGAAGGGATTATTTTGAACAGAAAGCATTGAGAAGGCTGAACTTACATCAAGAGATAATTGCCCCTGGCCCTTAAACAAAATTCCATGAACACCTAGCATTTGCTTAAATTGGATTTAGATTTTAAATCAATTTCCTCCACAAGTCCGTATGAAAGGCACCAAGCAAGGCTATCATTTTTATTTATTTGGTTTTCATACAGGGTCTCTTTTTTTATTTATCTCATTATGCAGCCCATGCTGACCTCCAACTCACAGTCCTCCTGCCTCACCGTTTGAAGGGCTAGGATTACAGGTATGTGTGCCACCACACCTAGCCCAATGCAATTTTTGACGTTTAATCCTGCCACAAAATAAATGGCAATAAAAAAATTCCCTATCATCTTTCCTAACACAGAGGTGAATAACTTGTTCTAGCAACATAATGGAAATTTAAAATTAAATAACAAACACAGCAACACTTTCTTTCAGTCAGCTGTTTAAGTCTTGTCTCTAGAGAAATTACATCAAAAAGGCATTTAAAAAATGTTTTAAGCCAGGCATGGCGGCACATAACTATAATCCCAACACGTAGAAGGTGAAGACAAGAGGATCAGGCGTTCAGGGCCAGCCACGGCTGGCTATGTAGTGGGTTCAAGGCCAGCTGAAACTTTTCAAAAACAGTTTTAATTAAAAAACCTGTCTGTGCTAATAGAACTAGGTAGATAGTATATGACTGTGGATATGTGGAAAAATGGGTGATTATGTCACAATGTTGCCAAACAATATTTCCACTTTCAACTTTACCACTTTACGTACCCTTTCTCACATGCCAGTTTCTACATGAATTTACAAATATATATATATATATATATATATATATACTTAAAAAATATATATTTTAATGCAAGGACACAATTGAAAGCCAGAGTCAGCACATATTTTGGAAAATGAGAACAATTGAGTTGTTTTATCCTTAAGTGAAATAATTTCATTTTAAATATGAATTCATTTTATTTCTGGAAAAAATTCTGCAAAATATAACATTCAACTTGTTGAAATTTTAAATAATTTATCTTATCTTGCAACAGTTATAGCTCTCATACCTGCTGAGGTTTCTCTAAATTTGTCGCTGGTCTTCTTTTTCCTCCATTTCCAAGGCTTGAAAATTTTACCAATGGTGGAGAGTTTCCCCTTTCTCTTGAAGGGAGGTGTCTGGGAACCTGCTGGGGGGCCATCTGAGTTTGCTATGGAGGCTTTGTCTAGTCCATCAACTGTATAAAGAAAAATCAAGTCAGAGAAAGGATGCAATAAGAATTTGAAACAGCACCATCTATCTTTTCCTGGACTGTTAACAGTAAGCTTGCCTGTTCTCTTTGTTTTGTCCCTCTCTGCACTGGTAAGACTCCCCTGACACAATCAGTGAATCAATCAATCAGAAATTATAGTCCCTTTAGGTAATCATTTTGGGGAAACAGAAAAGAAGCAAGAGACTTACATAATAGGCAGGGCCAGACAAATAGAGATCTGTAAAACCCCGCTGAGTCCATCTGCACCAGCACATCAATATTTTGTGCAGGAAAAGAGTATTCTAAGTATTCCTGAAATAGGATGTTCCTTTGAGGCAAGTTTGGCGTTCTCAGTAACGAATATCACAGTTACGGTGCAGTGAAAACCATGGTTTCCCCTTCCTAAAACGAAATTTGGTGCCAGGAAGCTAAAGTCTATTTTTATAATGCTATAACTATCTTTTGCCTCTGTTATAAAAAGTTTTAAGCTTCAAATAAACAGATGGTTATCATTAACAACAAGAAATATGTGGAAAATGTGGGTATTGCATGTGATAAAATCTATCTTTGTATGGCTTTAATGTTTTATCAGTCAGAAAGAAGGCACAAAGTTTGAAGTTGCCTTACAATAAGTTCTAAACAGAAAGGAGATAATACTGACTTGAATTACCCTAACTTCTAAATTAGTGGCAAAAAACCCCTAGAAGCAGCCCACATGACAAACTATGGTTTTATGGTTTTACCCATTCAATAAAATAGCATTCAACCATTTTATAAATGGGTATATATGGACAAATATGCAACAAATGACATACAAGAAAATGTTAAGTGTTGACTCTCAGTGGTAGATATATGGATGATTCAAGTCTTTCATCCTCTCTGTGTCTCTGGAAACTTTCATAATAAAATATTATGGGGAAAAACAAACAAAAACTAGAGAGGACTTTCCCTGAGAGGAAAATCAGGTAGACTTATGCCTTCCAATTCTCTTGTTAAAACCATGACATAAATCCATTTCAAAAACACTGTGCAGAAAAACCCACACAGAAGACAGTATGAATTGTTTGGTTCCCTTTATAGGCAAACTGAATCCATGTAAGAAGAAGGGGGGGGGCAATCACAACAACAACAGTGAAATGAAATCAGAGCAATAGGAATGAAATGAGAAAGAGCTTGAGAGAACTTGAGGGGGTGGCAGAATTTATTTAAGTAATGGGTGGATTATGCAAAACTGATCATGCATCTCTATTATTTTTGCACATTTCATTTTATGCAAAATTTACCTTTGAAAACTCAGAGAATGATGTCTAATTGATATATACACTACAGTGACTACAGGTGAACTGAGCTAATATCCATCAAAACCCAAAAATAAGTGGATAGATGGAATGAGCAGATGGATAAATAGGCCAAAAAAAAAAAAGACAAAATACTAAGTTGCTAAATCTAGGTTTTAACTATATGAGGCACAGGTATAATGCGTTTTATCTTTTGTATATTTTTGAAACTTTCATAATAAAATACTGGGGGGAATACATGTAATACAAAAGTTGAATAGCAAGGTCTTCCATTCCCAAGATGCTTTTATTCCAAGTTCTCATTCTAACCACAATTTTCCATCTACCTGTACATAAAACATTTGCATGTTTTATCTTAAAAAGGAAAACAGGAAGATTGTGAGTTGCAGCTGAAGCAGGCCAACCTACAACCTCAAAACCCAAGAAACAACATGGTATAAAGATTGTTGGGTTTTATTTTTGCTACACATCTTCCACTTTTGTAAGTCAAGACCCAGTTAACAACCCAGAAACACCAGTGGGTACAGGCCAAAAGAATCTCAACAGCAAAAACACAACCTAGTGAGGCAAATGTTTTAGACTATAACTGCTCTACTCTGGCCAAACACCACAGAAGAAACTGTGATCATACATGCTAGCAAACGTGGAGCATAGAAAGGAGACTTTCACGCTCATGAGGCTCTAGCAAGGAGCTCTAAAACTGCTGCAGGAGAAGTGTTTAGAGAAGGCAAAACAGGGAAGACCTTCATGCCTGTAGCCAGCAAGGAAGCATTGTGGTGTCAGTGGAGGCTATGTGGGGAGTCTGGATTTTATCCCATACAGCAGTAATTGGGTGGTATCAAAGCTCTGCCCACTGGGAACAAGGCTGTTCATTCTAGAGTTTCAGTGGAGACTATGGAGAGATCTGGAGATTCTAGCCATACCCAGTAGCAACAAGGACCTTCAAGTGCAGTGCCAACAAGAACACAAATGGGAAACCTGGATTTTCATCTCCAGGCAGGAATGTCGAGGTGGCATTCACTGTTCCCTTCCTGGAGAAGTGTTAGGTGAAGCCCAAAAAGCAGGAGAGTTAAATAAGATATGAAGTCTCACAACATAATGCAAAAAAGTCCAAATTTTAGTCAAAAATCACTTGACATACCAATAATTAAGAAAAACCCAAGCATAATGAAAAATGGCATTCAATAGTTACCAACCAGCTCCATATGAATTCTTCCAAATATGCATGCCTAAGTCCCACTCTTCCTCCTAGTGATGTGTACTCTGATTTTGGATGCTACCTAGGCAGAAGTGTCACTGGCTATAACGCTGTTAAGGTAAATAGGAGATGCAAGTGTGGCACAGGGCGATGCTTCTGTAAGTGGTCCTAACCCTACCTTCAGCCACAGAACAACAGAGGTGGAGGTGGGAGGAGGTAGATGAAGCTAAAAGCCAGCCACAGTAAAGAAGTAAAAATTTCACTGTACTCCTATCCAGCTGTCTCCCATGAACTGGAGGGCAAGTTGAGGAAGGAAGTGAGTGTATGGTTTTTCTTCTTCGTGAGACTTTATACTGAAATCTTATGGAAGAGATTAGTTCTGAACAACTGAATGCTGTAAAATACAAAAGGGCTGGCTAGTACAAACATCTCAAATTCAATTTCCATCTCAAATTCATCTCTGTGGTTAGAGACAGACATCTACTTCCCATTTTCTTACAGTGGAGAGGGAACTTCATCACCCATGCCACAGATCTGGTTCCCTGACACAACGTAAAAAACCGTGCTTTCCATCTGAACCAGTGAAACATAGTCTGTTTTTCTTTTGTAAACAAAAATTTTTATGTTTACAAACACAAACAAAATAAAAAGTGAAATAATTTCCCTGATGGCTGGCAGGTGGAGAGGTGGAGAGAGCCGACTGCTGAGTGAAACACGACAATGTTAATTAAATGCACAAATGCATAAGAAGTGAAATGCAGCTGACACCAAAGGCCTAGACCAGTGCCAGTGGCCACAGTGGTGTGTGAACATGTGCACACGTGTGTACATGCATGGGTGCATACCTACACCCATCTTTTTCCTCTGACTGAATGAATCTATTTGTGATTTTTATAACTGGTAGGCTCTTACTGAAAACCACACTTGCAATTAGAGGCCATAGATGATGACGCAGCTGGCCAAATGCCACTGCACTTACGATAGAGTTGTTACTGGCTCTGCACAAGCACGAGCAGACTACGTGTTTTCTCTAGACACCTGGGTACTGGTAGAGCCACTGATATTTCTATAATTTTTCTTTCGAACAAACTCACTATTAAAAAAATCTATTTGAAACTTTCTATAAAGTCTTTCACTTTAAGTATGAAACTCTTTTTTTTTTTTTGAGTAAGATGGACAACAGGTTGGAAACCTGAAACTTCTGTATGTTTGTCGTAAAATGCTACACAAGTAAGCAACTGATGGCTGATGGAGGGAACCAAGATATCAGGTACAGATACGGAAGGAGGGGAATTTAAATATTCCATATACACCCATTACAGCTGGAGATAACTGTATGAACTCATGTTTTGCAAGATAGACAGAAAGACAGCACATATGTTATCAATATACATGGTCACATTGCCGAGTATGCCTAGATGTTATTTCTTTTTTTTATATTTTATTTGTTATTTTTATTTTATGTGTAAGTGTATTGCCTGCATGTATGTGAGTGCACCCGTGTCATGCAATGCCATGGAGGTCAGAAGAGGGCTTTGGATTCCCCTGGAACTGGAGTTAAGGATGGTTCGTAGCCGCCATGTGGGTGCTGGGAATCAAACCCGGGTCCTATGCAAGAGCAGTCAGTGCTCTTAACCGCTGGGTCATCTCTCCAGCCCCATATGTTATTTCTTAGTTCTGTCATCTCACCAACAACACCCTACTAGCAACTAACACATGCAATGTTCAGATCTTGGTCTCTAACAGCATTCTTCAATTTAAAAAAAAAACATAGAAAAATCATTCTTTATAAAAATGGTTACTCGTAGGGTTGGGCAGGGAAAGAACCTTCATCATATAGTGCCAGGATGTAAGGAAGTACTTGAATCAAACTGATGGGAGTATGCTAAAGAGACACAGAGGTAACCCAAAAAATCTTCAAAGGCCAATGTTGGAAGAATCAGAGCATATAAAAGAAATAATATGCTCTAATTACAACCCAGTATATAAAACAAATATCTATGGGCCCATACTTACATAAATAAATATTGAAGAAATAAATGTGAGAGCACAACAAATCTGCATAGAAGAGTTCCAAACACTTTATAGGAAAACAAGTTTAACTTTGCACGGCTTGAATGCTGGCTACACATAGTAAACTCCTTCCAAGGGTGCAGGATGGACAGATTCGGGAAATGAGTGACTTCACATGGACAAACATCACCCCATCCAGGGACCAAAGTCAATATCATCTGTGTTAGATTATGTTGACAGTATTACCCTTGATATGATGTGATGAGACTGGAACTTCAAAACTTACAACCCAAGTGTCATTATAAGGAAATGTCAGACAAGGTCAAGTTGAGGAACATTTCTGGAATACCTGATCAATGCACCCCAAAGACATCAAGGGTGATTAAAAATAACTAAAGTCTGAGGTACTGACACCAACAAGAGGAAGTGAAGGAGACATAATACAGATCCTTAATGGGATCCTGGAACCCCAAAAA